CTGCGTTGTTATCTTCTTCCCTTCTTCATGTCTTTTACAGGACCTAAGTTTGAAGAAGATTTTTGGCAGGGGATATGAGTGCGGCGCGCTATACTACTTTGGGTGATCCACCGGACCAGCCTTCGACTTTAGCCAGTTTTCAGGCCTCTGTTTTGCCTAGTTCTATATCTTGTGTTTTTTCTGTTTAAACTTTAGAGTTATGGCATGCCCGTATAGGTCATGTTAACTTTCAATATTTATGTCAACTTTTCCCTTTATTAAATAAAGCTTGCAAGGATTCTAAATTTCATTGTGTTACTTGTGAGTTGTCTAAATATATCCGTACTAGTTATATACCACATATGACACGGGGCCCTAGTGCTTTTGACCTTATTCATTCTCCCTCTCTTGTTTCTGCTTTTTCGGGTCATCGTTATTATGTGACTTTTATGGATGATCACACTAGGTGCACTTGGGTCTATTTATTTCGCCGCAAGTCTGATATGTTTCCCATATTCGTTCAAATTTTGCAAATGGTTAAGGCACAATTTCGTACAGTTGTTAGGAACATCTGCTTTGATAATGATGGGGAATACATCTCCAACAAGTTTCGTTCCCACCTTAATCGAACGGGTATTCTTCAACAACTTACATATCCTCGGACCCCTAAACAAAATGGTGTGGTTGAATGTAAAAACCGTCATATTATGTCTGTCATACGTTGTCTTCTTCGTGGTATGTGTGTACCCAAGTCTTATTGGCACATGGTTGTTCTTACTACTATCTATCTCATTAATAGAACTCCTAATCGTGTGTTACATGGCCTTACCCCATTCCATATTCTTATGCCTAATACTATCAATTTTCCTCTTTTACCTCGTATTTTTGGGTGTACATGTTTTGTTCAGGACCGTCGTCCCACTCGCATTAAGTTAGATAACAAGTCTATTCGTTGTATCTTTTTGGGGTATTCCTCCACGTCTAAAAGGTATAGATGTTTTGATCCTGTGTTGCGTCACTTGCGCCACACTCTAGATGTTACTTTTTGTGAGGATCTTTCTTTTTTTAGTCCTAACCCCCCTTTGCAGGTTTCCCCTTCAGATACTTCGCGTGTTCGCCCGGTCCCCATTTTAGACAAGATTGCGGATGAGGTTGTCCCCCCCCCTCCTATCCTCCACCTTCGCCTCCTTCCCCTCCCTTACAGGTATACTCTCGCCGCCCTCGTGCTCAACCCCCTCTTGCTACCTCTCCGGCTCTTGGGTCAGGTAATTCTTCCCCTTTACATGTATCATGTTCCCTTCCTCGTCGTAATCCTCCTCAAGATCAACATCCCCCCAACCGTTGGGGTTATCTGTGTAGTACTGATCATCCCATTTCCCAGTTTCTCTCATATGCCAGGGTTTCTGACTCATATCATTCTTTCCTTGGCAAGCTTGAGTTCGAGTCTATTCCTCGGTCTGTGTCCGAGGCCCTTCAGAATCCAAAATGGATGGCGGCCATGCAAACTGAAATGGCAGCTTTAGAACAGAATCATACTTGGGATTTGGTTCCTTTACCTTCTAGCGAGAGTACCATAGGTTGCAAATGGGTCTTTGTTATTACGTACCTACCTGATGGTTCCATTGACCGTTATAAGGCCCGCTTAGTGGCCAAGGGCTTCACTCAAGTTCCTGGTAAGGATTTTGGTGCAACCTTTGCCCCTGTTGCCAAGCTTGCATTTGTTCGTCTACTCATCTCCCTTGCCGCATCCTATTCTTGGCCCTTTCATCAGCTTGATGTCAAGGATGCCTTTCTACATGGAGATCTTCTTGAGACAATTTATATGGCCCCTCCTCCTGGTTTTCGAGTTGAGGGGGAGTTTTTGGGGAAAGTATGTTGACTACACAAGTCTTTGAATGGCTTGAAGCAGTCTCCATGAGCTTAGTTTGGTCGTTTCAGCTCAATCATCATCTCCATGGGCTTTGTTCAGTGCCATTCAGACCATACGTGCTTCATCCGTCGTAATTTCGTAGGTAAGTGTATAGTCTTGTTGGTTTATGTGGATGATATCATTCTCACCGGTGATGACTCTATAGGTATTGATCAAATAAAATGGGATTTGGGACACACCTTTGATATTAAGGATTTGGAAAATCTCAAGTATTTTCTAGGGATTGAGGTGGCTCGCTCACGGCAAGGGATCTCCTTATCTCAAAGGAAGTACACTCTTTGACTTACTTAAGGATACAAGTATGTCGGGGTGTAAACCTGCTTCTACTCCAATGGATCCCAATGTCAAGCTCACATCAGAGTCTGGCGATTTATTAGAGAACCCAGGCATGTATCAACGTCTTGTTGGGCGTCTCATCTATCTGACCAATACTAGACCTGACTTGACATTTGCAGTTAGTGTGGTTAGCCAATTCATGCATGTACTTCGTACAGAACATCTTGATGTAGTTCATCACACCTTGAGATATTTGAAGACCTCTCTTGGCTTAGGATTGTTCTTCACAGCTGATCCTCAATCTGGACTCTCCTGTTTTACTGATGCTGACTATGTAGGATCTAGAATGGATAGGTGTTCTACTTCTGGCTTATGTACCTTCTATGGTGATCATCTTATATCATGGAAAAGTAAGAAGTAAGCAGTTGTTTTTAGATCTTTTGCAGAAGTTGAGTATAGGGCTATGGCACAAGGCACTTGTGAGATTCTATGGCTACGTTCTATTTTGGCAGAGTTGGAATTTGAGGAGACTGCTCCTGCGCCTTTGTTTTGTGACAATAAGTCTGCTATTATGCTGTCTTCTGATTTCATCCTACATGAGCGTACTAAGCATATAGAGGTTGATACACATTTCATTCGAGAGAAGGTTCGGATTGGTGTTGTGAGACCATCCTTTGTCTCTTCTTCTCAGCAATTAGCAGATATGTTCACCAAGTCTGTAGGCCCAACATTACTCTAGTCGTCTATTGCCAAGTTGCGTTTATTGAATATCTTCACACCAGCTTGAGGGAGAGTGTTAGAATTAGGAAATAGTGATATTATAATTATAGTAGTGTTAAATTAGGAAATAGTGAATATTGTAATTATGGTAGTATGTATAAAATCTATGATTGTATAATATTGTTTCATTATAAATACAAGGCTATACCTCATTCATAGGTAAGCCAAAACAATTCTTTTCATCCTTTTAATCAAGGGGGGCCAAGGGAAAATGTCATCGATTATAATGATGAGAGTAGGTCCATGCACAAGATTATAAACATGCTTTTCAGAAAATCAAGGATGGCCATGGCACTCCCCTAGCTTCGCCTCTGCCTTGAGCCCTTGACCTTGTTCTAATCCATGCACAATCAAAGCCACCAAAGCATCAAGGAGGCTTTATTTTCTTCAAAAACCATGGAGCATTACATGTAATGCTTCTCTGATGCACGCTTAGCAGCACACACCTCTTATAATTGCATCTGCCACTCATAGAGGTCATACAGCAATTAGTTTAAAGTTGCTGCCTCAGGAAAAACAATTTGTATCCACCAACAGGAGGACTAGTACTTAGGACTCGTCGTAATCCTCCTCAAGATCAACATCCTGCACAAAAAACTAGTTTTAAACTCCTGTATTTTTCTTAGCAGCTCAAAGGAGACCTCTAACACCTGGAAGTGAATACATGGACCACCCAATAGCAGTGTTGGGGCTTTTTGTGCACATTATGGGAATTAAAGACACAGTTCTTTGTTGTTCTGCTCTTTCTGAAATTTATATCTGCATCTTTTAGCCATAACTCATGCTCTTTCTGTAATGGTGTCTTTCAGATACCAATATGATGTTAGCTACAATGTGCACAGCACTACATCGTGCTATGGGCAGTTGCCTAGGAAATATAAGAAAACTTCAATTAGTTGGGAACTTGGGAGTACTGACAAAAAGAACTTGACTCAATTAAGCCCAATATAACATTTGAATAGATTGCAATTACTTCGCATTTCATGAGACCAAGTAGCATTGAATTTTGATTTCCTTTTGATTGCCACATTTCTTCAAAACCAGACCAAATAGCATTACACTTTGATTTCCTTTTGATTGCCTCATTTCTTCAAAACCAAATGGAGCACCCGATTAAAAATTACAATCTTGGATAAATTACAATTATGGTCTTTAAAGTACGCGTTTCATGTCAAAATTTATGGTCTTCCAAGTTTTAATTTTGTTAACTTCGTGCTTAAAATTTCCAATATGAGTCAATTTGGTCCAATTTCAAACAGATTGCCTAAATAGTTAATGGAATGATAATATAATACACATATAGTATGCGTTCCATCTTTTCTCACTTCTGTCCCTAAATTTTAATTTGTCAGTTTGGTCCCAAAACATTGATGAAACATTAACTTACAATATTGAGCGACAAAATTGACAAAATTGAAACCTTTAAGGACCAAAATGATGCAAAATGTATACTTTAGGGACCATAGTTAAAAATTATAATTATTCAACGATTTATAAAACTGTTTGAAATTGGACCAATTTAACTCAAATTAAAACTTTCTAAGACAAAATCAACAAAATTGAAATTTGAAATGCCAAAGTGACACGGAAAGTATACTTTAGGGACCAAGTGTATTTTATCCTACAATCTTTTTATAAAATCCTTGTTGACCTAAAGATGTTTTTGTTTTCACAAATCATGAATAAATTAGCATAAATGAACTAAAACACAAAACAGAGATTACTTTAATTCACTATCATAAAACCTACCCCAAAAAAAATTCATGTCAAGATTGGCACAAATTATTTCTAATATCGTACTCTCTCTCCCTCTCTTGCATACACTTTTTTTTTTTTCCTGGTAATCGGCACACACATTCATACACAATCCAACAAGATTACCGCATATCTAATTGAGCAAAAAAACAGAATCATTGTCAACAATATCTGGCATATAAAAATAAGAATTGGTTATTCATAAAATGGAAAAGATATAATCAAAAACCAAAAATAAATAACAAAAATAGCTAAGTGAGACAATTGGGCAATTGGGTACCTAGAAATTGAGAGTATGGTAGGAATGCCATCCAAAATAGGAGGGCAATGTCGATCGGCGTCGAAAACATAAATGCAAAGCCACACACCATTCACACGCCCTTCAAACTGAGCCGAAGGCCGAAATTTCTCCAATGTGAGAACTTTATATGACCCAATTTCCTCATAGGGGCTATCACTGTGGAAAACATACTCTCTCTCAGCTTCCTTTTCCACCCCATTCTCCAATTGGTAAACATGCACAGTCCTGATCAATTCTACACAAAACAAAAGAACAAAATGGGAAACAAAATACCCAATTCAGCATGAACTCAAATCTCCACATAACCAACATAAAATCAAATTTTAAGAAAAACCCAGATAAAGATTTTGAGTTTTATCAATCAAGAATCAAACAAAAACAGCAGCAACTAGAATAAGAGAATTAGCTAACCGGGATACATGTAGTTCCTGAAGATAACAAGAGCTTTCAGAGAATGACCCTGCAATGAAGCCATAGAGAACCTGAAATCATTACGTTTTTTTATTTTTTTTTATTTTTTTTTTTTGAAGAGAGAGGAAATCGAGAATCGATGGTTTTAAAGAGGAGCCTTGTGAATTTGCATGGGTCTCCAGTCTCTGTCACCAAGACAGGAAAAGTTATGTACTATTAATTATTACTTTTTGTCGCTTTCTTGATTTCATTTACTATTTTTCATGTTGCGCCATACCTAACACCAACCCCAGTAATTTTCTTGTTTCTCCCTTTTTCTTATCTCGGTATAATATCACAAATTTTAATAGGTGATGGGATTTTCAATTCTTTAATTTTTTTATTTTTTTAATAATCAGATATCCGAAACAATTCATATGTATCTCAATTAATTTCAAAACTCCAGAGTTAATCATCCGAGAAATCTCTAATAACTTTGAAGTTTTAGATGTTTATCATAGTGAAATTCGACCTTAAAACCTTTTTAGTAGTAAATTATTTGATTATCTCTTATCTCAAGTAAAATCCTTTCTAATATTTTTATGTTCTGGTCAAACTATAAAATGGAATTAAAAATTTTTGCAACACACACGAAGAGGGCCCTAAAGTAACGGCGGATTTGAGTAGTAAATTATTTAAATTTAATTTAAAAATATAATGAAATTTTAAAATATATTTTAATATTGGTTTGTTTATATAATTTGTTGATTTTAAATAAATTTTTAACAAATTAAACAAGAATCGAGTTCAAATAGTTTGATTTTTATAGTATATATTAGTCTATCGAATTAAGGCCTCGTTTGGAAATAGGCTAATTTATTAATTTTTTTTGTTGTTTGGCTAAAATATGAGTTAAAAAAAACTAGTATGTTTGAGATGACTTTTTAATTTTTTACGAAAAAATGTGCAAAAAGTAGAGAGAAAAGAATCTTTGACTTTTTGGTATAGGTTGTTGGCTTTTTAGCCTTTTTAGTAATTTTTTAACTTTTTTGCTAAATGGGCTGGTTCCCAAACGAGGCCTTAGTAAATTGTTTAAACCTAATTTTCAAATTTAATAAATTTTAAAATGCGTTCAAGTTTAGTTTATATAACGAATTATTCTTGAACAAATTATTGAAAATAAGGGTTCATTTGGAATATTGATTGGTTTTTTGACTTTTTAATTTTTTTGGCTATTTTAGCTCTTTTTGGTTTTTTTGACTTTTGTGAGAGAAAAAATGTAATGGTTATGAGTTGGATATGATGTTTTGTCTTATTAGATTAAAAAATCTTTTTTCCTTGTTGCTAAAATAGTCAAAAAAACTTCGGACTTTTTCTTTCCAAACGAACTCTAAAAAAGCTAAAATATAATTTTGATAAAAAAAATGTTATGCTAAAATAGTTACAAAAAGACAAAATAAGTTAAAAAATTAATAAAAAATATTACATATAAATTATAATCATTTTATTTTTTCTCTCCCAAAAATAAAAAATAAAAACTCAACCTTAAAAAAGACTTTTTAACCCCGAACAAAATAAACAAAGAATCGAAAACATCCTAAACAAAACCTGAGTCTCGGCAAAACTTGTCAGGCCCATGGCCTTCACCAGTCAACGGCTCGAACTGGCCCATGTGCTATTTCTAAAGCCCAAGTCCTACACATAGGTTTAAAAATGTCAACTTATGGGTTTCGAGCCTAGCATGGCCCATATAGAACTGATATGGACGTAAATTTGGGCTTTTTAAAAATTATAATACAAAGTTAATCATCCGAGAAATCTCTAATAACTTTAAAATTTTAGATGTTTATCGTAGTGGAATTCGACCTTAAAACCTTTTTGGTAGTAAATTATTTGATTGTCTCTTATCTCAAGTAAAATCCTTTCTAATATTTTTATGTTCTGGTCAAACTAGAAAATGGAATTAAAAATTTTTGCAACACACACGAAGAGGGCCCTAAAGTAACGGCGGATTTGAGTAGTAAATTATTTAAATTTAATTTGAAAATATAATGTAATTTTAAAATATATTTTAATATTGGTTTGTTTATATAATTTGTTGATTTTAAATAAATTTTTAACAAATTAAACAGGAATCGAGTTCAAATAGTTTGATTTTTATAGTATATATTAGTCTATCGAATTAAGGCCTCGTTTGAAAATAGACTAATTTATTAATTTTTTTGTTGTTTGGCTAAAATATGAGCTAAAAAAAATTAGTATGTTTGAGATGACTTTTTAATTTTTTACGAAAAATTGTGCAAAAAGTAGAGAGAAAAGAATCTTTGACTTTTTGATATGAGTTGTTGGCTTTTTAGGATTTTTAGTAATTTTTTAACTTTTTTGCTAAATGGGCTGGTTCCCAAACGAGGCCTTAGTAAATTGTTTAAACCTAATTTTCAAATTTAATAAATTTTAAAATGCGTTCAAGTTTAGTTTATTTATACAACGAATTATTCTTGAACAAATTATTGAAAATAAGGGTTCATTTGGAATGCGGATTGGTTTTTTGACTTTTTAATTTTTTTGGCTATTTTAGCTCTTTTTGACTTTTATGAGAGAAAAAATGTAATGGTTATGAGTTGGATATGATGTTTTGTCTTATTAGATTAAAAAATCTTTTTTTCTTGTAGCTAAAATAATACAAAAAAAACCTCGGGCTTTTTCTTTCCAAACGAACTCTAAAAAAGCTAAAATATAATTTTGATAAAAAAAATGTTATGCTAAAATAGTTACAAAAAGACAAAATAAGTTAAAAAATTAATAAAAAATATTACATATAAATTATAATCATTTTATTTTTTCTCTCCCAAAAATAAAAAATAAAAACTCAACCTTAAAAAAGACTTTTTAACCCCGAACAAAATAAACAAAGAATCGAAAACATCCTAAACAAAACCTGAGTCTCGGCAAAACTTGTCAGGCCCATGGCCTTCACCAGTCAACGGCTCGAACTGGCCCATGTGCTATTTCTAAAGCCCAAGTCCTACACATAGGTTTAAAAATGTCAACTTATGGGTTTCGAGCCTAGCATGGCCCATATAGAACTGATATGGACGTAAATTTGGGCTTTTTAAAAATTATAATACAAATTTTTAAAATGCATTACAATAATTAGAATTGAATATTGAATCAAGAAAAAAAAATTTAATATATTTTTTTTGAAATATATGATTAAATTCACTGTGATTATATTATTAAATTGTATGTTTCTTTAATCTCGTGAAAATATAATTACTAGTTTATAGTCAGCAGGTTATTAGTTTCTCAATTTAATCTTATTATTTTATTAAAACTATATATGCACACACAAAAAATATATATATTATTTAGGGATTGCTTGAGATATCCTAAATAAGTACACTTTTTGACTTCTTTGATTAAAAAGTTGAAGAAAAAAAAAAGTTGTTTGAGATAACTTTTTGACTTTTTATGAAAAAATATGTATTAAAAAATTGTATAAATTAGTTTATAGGAAAAGATTGGGATAGAATAGTACAATAGGATGTCTTAAGGGACAGCGCGGGCAGAGTATAGGTTAGGAGATGGTTCTTTCCTTTTCAGGCATTGAATTGGACGGTGTTGTTTGGCCTATGGGGGCCTACCACGGGTCCTGTTTTGCTAATCGAAACGTTCAATATGTAGAGCTCGTCGATGACTATATGCTTGTAAAAAATTACATTAATCGAATATCAATAGCTGAGAGGGTGATTTATGATCTGGAATTGGGCCGAGATATCGACCGAGCAGGTTGAAAGCCCAGCAGTGCATTGGGCCGAGATGATCGACTGTTCGCCCAGAGAAGGGCTGCCAGAACTTGGGCCGGGCAGAGTTCGGGCTGTGTGTGCCACCCCGGACCGGACAGAAACTGCTCGGCAAGGCAGTGCTCGGTCGGACCAGGATGCTCGGTCCGAGGATGGCCGAAGCCAGATAGGCCGAGTGACCGGCGCCCGGGAAGGCGCGGACATCCGAGGAAGTTGTCTGACCGGCAGAAAGGCCGACCCCAGGAGGCACCTCGGGCTAGGCTTTGCCGAGATGCCGCCTAGCCCGGTCCTCCTCAGTCTTGGCCAGTGGAGGCACCTCGGGCTAGGCTTTGCCGAGATGCCACCTAGCCCGGTCCTCCTCAGTCTTGGCCAGTGGAGGCACCTCGGGCTAGGCTTTGCCGAGATGCCACCTAGCCCGGTCCTCCTCAGTCTTGGCCAGTGGAGGCACCTCGGGCTAGGCTTTGCCGAGATGCCGCCTAGCCCGGTCCTCCTCAGTCTTGGCCAGTGGAGGCACCTCGGGCTAGGCTTTGCCGAGATGCCGGTATATAAGCATGTCTGCGCCCCCCATACGCGATACACGAACACTCTGTAAGGAATTTCTTACACTCAAACACTCTCTCCCTTCTCTCTATCCATCCTAAGGTGTGTGCTAACTTGATCGTCGGAGGGTTTTTCCGGCCACACACCGCCGGGTAGCTCACCGTTACTTGCTCGTAGGTGATCGGACATCGACGGAGCTCGGAAGAAAGGAATACGGGCTTGCCGGAATATTTGCTCCCCGTACAATTGGCGCCTTCTGTGGGAAAAGTTTTCAGACAAAACCTTGTCTTCCAGGTTCGTCTGATCGCAGTCCATGGCGAACAACGACGAGTTTCCGTTGTCCGCCATCGACGGAGCCACCCCGGAGTATACCCGAAGGAGAGAGGGACCTCCTGCCGTCCATCCAATGGCTGACTTGGGGACGCCCACTGGAGGACAGTCAGGAGACGCGCGGGATAAGCGCGGAAGAAGTCATGGTCATTCACGGAGTCCAGACGGTCACCGGCGGAGGAGAGACTCGCACGCCAGGCGACTGGAAAACAAGTTGAGGGACCAAGACGCTGTCATCAGGCGGATGGCGGCGGAGATGGAGGATCTTAAGCGGCATGTCAAAGGGAAAGGTGTAGCTAGAGTGGGAAACCACAGTGAGCGCACCCCATCCCGCCGGTCAGGCGATCAGATTCAGCGACGCACTCAGTCCATTTCCATCACCAAAAGTTACCAGGTTGGTGATTCCGACGTGCATACAGAAAAGTCTAGCACGCAAGACAACACCTACAAACCCTCACGTCCGGCGACGACGTCGAGGTATTCATACTCCGCTCAGTCAGAGGATT